AAAAAAAAAAAAAAAAAAACTGTAGCTAAATTGCTCAGGAAAATTTATTACTCCCAAATTTTGATACAGATATAGAAGCAGTGCAAGCCAGAAAACATATTGAAGCAAGAGCAATAAAGGCCAGTAAAGTTACTGAAGTATGTTTCCATGACTTCTGTGTGGGAGTTTTGCCCATGAGAAACACAGACTAACAACTTTCTTTATTTGGTACTTCTGTCTATCCTTACTATATTTTTATGCTTTATAGGCTACAAGTCATGAACATTTCATTCAGCAAACCCATCTACTTGTGCAAAATTAACTGCCTATTAAGTCTTCCTTTTCCCAAAAATAAAACTGCAGAATTGAAGACTGCACACACCACTTCATTCTTGAATTTTGCAGGGAGACAGTCCTTACTCCATCTTTTTGGGTAGAGTTAAAGGGTAAGGGGAGAACAAGGTTGTTTTGTGGACGATTTTTAGAGTGCATACAAGATAGGTATATACTGATCATATAGAAAAGAAATAATATTTCACATTTTCAGACTTTCCTACTTACACTGCCTAAATTTCATGTCCCGTCTTTACTAATACTCCCTTATCTCTCTTTCCAACATATTTGCCTTGCAAAATCCCAACCGCAGTCATACCCAATTTTTCATCTATTCTGTAGTACAACAGCACCCAAACAGCTAAATGTGGCTGGAGAAAAGGCAATGATCTTCTCTCCCGCCACATTTAGTAGACTCCATTAAGCAGATTAACATTAAATGGGTCCTCAGTAATGTCTTGCAAATTTACTACAATTCTAATTAAGTGATTTTCCCACTCTGCTGGGCAATTATTTCAAACTTTTTTCCTCTGCTCTAACTTCCTTTATCTTTCTATCTCCTCCACTCTGAGCTACTAAACTTGCTTAAAATTTCAACTAAGAAAATAACAATCTTTTTTTTCTCATACTCCAATTCCAACCCCTTAGAAATCTTCTCAGGGTTGCAGTAAAATATATGCAGAATCGAATTCTTTATCATCACTTTCCTGTTACCTACTACTTCATTCAAACCGTCATCTCTTGCCTTGCACTCTTGCAATCTCCCAACAGCCTTTCCTGCTTTCTCTCTTATGTCACATAAAATCATTCTTAACATAACAGCCAGAGTCATTCTTTTAAATGTAAGTCTGATCACTTTGTTCCTCTGCTTAAAATCTTCCATTGGCTTCTCATCTCTCAGTAAACCAAAAAAGTACTTATCATAAACTCAACTACCTCTCCAGTCTCACAGTTCATCACTCCCCCTGACACAATCTCTTTTAAGTTCTGGGCTTAAAAGCCCTTCAAGGCTTTTCTCTGTACTTGTCCCTGCTGTCTGAATTGCTCTTTCACCATTCCTCTACTTCCTGCAGATTTCTGATCAAATGTTACCATTATCAGTGAGGCTTTCCCCTTCCAATCCATATAAAATGGCCCTAGCTCCAACATCGTTTTTATTTCTGAAACAGGGTCTCTCTTTGTTGCTCAAACTGGAGTGTAGTGGTGCAATCATAGCTCACTGCAGACCTGAACTCCTGGGCTCAAGTGACCCTGCCGTCTCAGCCTCCAGAGTGGCTAGGACTACAGGAATGAGCCACCATCCCAAGCTAATTTTTTATTTTTTTGTGGAGACCAGGTCTCACTATGTTGCCCAGGCTGGTCTTGAACTACTGGCCTCAAATGATCCTCCCATCTGGGCCTCCCACCGTGCTGGGATTATTAGGTATGAGCCACCATGCCTGGCCTCCATCATTCTTTATTTCTTTTCAGTTTTATTTTTTCTTCTTAACGCTTATGTCCACATTGCAATATTATATACTTATTGGCATTTTTGTTTATAGTCCATCTCCACCTCATTGGAATATCACATCCACAAGGGCAAGAACTGTTCATTATAATATTTTCCAGGTTCAGTATATGGATACAAATGGAAGTTTAAAAACTATTTGCTGAATGAATGAATTTTCAAACATACCTTGTTGGAAGGTTTGAATTCCTGAACCTTTACTTCCGAAAGAATATTCAAGAGGGCATCTGCTGATAAGTCCTGTTTTTTAAAGAAGTAATCAACAAAGATATTCTTCTATTTCTGAACTCTAAAGCTAAAAACATCTTATAAAAGGTCCTTAATCATATTGAAATATTTGAATAATTA